ACTTGTTTCTTTGATCACCATCAACCCCCACTAGGGGCTTATCAAAGACTGCGGGGTGTTACCCTGGGACGAGTTCAGTTGGGAGCCCAGCAAAGGTTTGCAGCAGATTTTGATCGCTGCCCACCGCACCATACCGCACCGGGGGCTTAGACCCACTCTGCTGGCATCACGTCATGCCAGCAGATGACTGGGGTTGGCTTCAGCGGTGGTCAATCAACTTGGCCAGGCCGAGATCCGCGCATTCTGGCTCCTCTTCCAACTCACAGGGGGACTGGGACGCCAAAGCTTCAGAGATTACTATGGCATCCCGCGAAAGAACATGGTTGCGACAGGCGGACCGCAGAGCTGGGAGGGTGTGGCAGGGTGGATGTTTCCAACTTATTCCATCCCTGGTGGCTGACCCTCCAGGGTTCTGCTAGCTGGTTTCATGGTGATCATGAGCTAATCCGATATCGGACCTTGCCTGTGAGAATTTTGGTGAAGTTGGCCCAAGAGCCAAGCTAAACAACAAGGATAGATAGATAGATCAGATTAGATCAGATTAGATTAGATTAGATTAGATTAGACTAGACTAGATAGATTAGATATATTAGATAGATTAGAAGATTAGATAGATTAGATAGATTAGATAGATTAGATAGATCAGATAGATTTGATAGATTTGATAGATCAGATAGATTTGATAGATCAGATAGATTAGATAGATTAGATAGATTAGATAGATTAGATAGATTAGATAGATTAGATTAGATTAGATTAGATTAGATTAGATAGATAAGATAGATTAGATAGATTAGATTAGATTTGATTAGATGAGATTAGATTAGATTAGATTAGATAGATAGATAGCTAGGTAGGTAGGTACCAGTAGATAGATAGATAGATAGGTAGATAGATAGAGATAGAGATAGAGATAGAGATAGAGATAGAGATAGATAGATAGATAGATAGATATAGATATAGATATAGATATAGATAGATATAGGCAGATAGATAGATAGATGGGATAAAATAGGATAGAATAGGATAGAATAGGATAGAATGGGATAGAATAGGATAGGAGACGATACGATACGATATGACACGACGCGACACGACAAGACAGGACAAGACAAGACAAGACAGACAGAGAGATGGATAGATGGATAGATGGATAGATCGATGGATAGATAGATAGATAGATAGATAGATCGATCGATCGATCGATCGGTAGGTAGGTAGGTAGGTAGGTAGGTAGATAGATAGATAGATAGATAGATATACACACAGTAGTCTTTTGACAGCGGGACGCCTTTCGAATTTGGTTGACAAATCTCTTTGCGGTCGCAATACTTCGTTGGATCATGTCCCTCCTTGAGGAATTCCAACATGCCAACATGACCGCAGATGGTTGACGATGGTTGTTGATGGTTGTTCATGACCGGATGGTGGACCTTAGGTGCCCTTTTGGTGAGTGGTAACTGTGTGAAAGCCAATTCCCAACTGAGCAGTATGAGCACCAAAAATCCTTGTCGAGTGATGAGATGTATTATATGAATGTGGTTCAATTATTTTATAAGTTTCTATATGTAAACATCGGTGGTTTATTGGGTTTTTATCAGGCTTACCGTGTTGAAACGGCTGGTTTTTGTGGGCCACATGGGCCACATGGGCCAGGTCTGGATGGCCAGATGGTCTCTGCCGTGGATCGCAAGGGCGCCATGGACGACGTTCATCGTCTGACCTTCATTTTGGCAGCTCGGCATAGCTCGGCGCCGACGGCAGCCATGTTGGCTCTGGTGATCGACTATTTATTGGGAATGTGCAGAATGCCAATCATAGACATTTGGAAAGTCCTAATTTTTTTCGGGAATTCCCTGATTCCAAAAATATGGGGATTCTGCTTGCTTGATCCTTTTTTTTGGCATACCCACAGTTTTTGATCACTTTCCAAGCCGCCCAGGCTCGCTTCGAGCCAGATCTCTTTGTGCACATGAACGCCACCGGATTCCAACTACCAAGCGTCTAGCTGGCTCAGTTGCTGCCTGAATCCCTTGGAAAGATCTAGAAATAGCTTGGCTGAGAGTTATAGGCAGTTACCCTCTGGTAATTTAACATAGCTATGGAAAATCACCATTTTTAATGGGAAAACTCACTAGGCCATTTTCAATAGCTACGTTAAATTACCAGAGGGTATAGGATATGTTTTGATGCTGAATCTAGGATCAGTCATTCGGGGGGGTTGTCCTGATTTCAGGTTGCCAAAACCACCCCAAGGCAAAGGATTTCAAAGGTTGGACTGTAATTACAATGTCCCATCCCTCATCCGGATGTCCCCCAAAAAACTCTCCAACTCCCACAATCACAACCTGCTAGTCTTCTGCTTGGCTGACAGGGCTGACAGGGCTGACAGGGCTGACAGGGCTGACAGGGCTGACAGGGCTGACAGGGCTTCTGAACCTTGTACAGGGAGTGAAGGTCTGAATCACTTACTCACTTACTCCCAAACTTTGCTTGTCAATCTTAAGGCCATCCCCACTCCTTCACACCGAAATATTCCAACTCTCCCCCACAAATCCACCAAAACATCTCGCCATCCTCAATTTTCCTCCCAGAAGCACGCCACCGCCACCGTCACCTTTGCTTTCCACCTTCCAGTCTCTGCTTCAACTACCATATATGTTGGTTATAACCCACACATAACCCACACATAACCCATATATGAGCCATATATAACCTATATACATATATACATATATATATATATATCCCACACTTCTACAACCTGCAGTGCGCTGCCAGCTCTTCTACACGACCTTCATGCGTCTCTTCGCCTTCACATTGCCTGTGACGACCTTGTTCCGCTTCTGGGACCTGCTCCTGGCGGACGCCAACCGCCCGGACCTAGCCGAGGGGAAGCCGGCGCGGCACGCGCTCATCGACTTGGCCTTTGGAGGCATGGGCCAGGGTGTCATTCATATGAATATCAGTAATTTGATATCATATGAAGATCATTAATCATATATAGTCATATATAGTATCTAGTCATATCTAGTCATATCTAGTCATATCTAGTCATATCTAGTCATATCTAGTCATATCTAGTCATATCTAGTCATATCTAGTCATATCTAGTCATATCTAGTCATATCTAGTCATATCTAGTCATATATAATTTTATAATCATATATCAATGGATTTATGGATGGTACATATGATATATCATTAATATTTATTGATATCATTCATCAAATATTGCATATAATTTATATAACATGTCATATGTCATTTGGATGTGCCTATGCATATGTACACGCACACACATACATACATACATACATACATACATACATACATACATACATACATACATACATACATACATACATACATACATACATACATACATACTACATACATACATACATACATACATACATACATACATACATACATACATACATACATACATACATACATACATACATACATACATACATACATACATACATACATACATACACACACACACACATACATACACACACACACATATATATATATTACACACACACACATATATACATACGTATTGCCAACAAAAATCAAGCTTTATGCTCCGGCAATCTAACCCGGCTAGAACATCCTGCATAGATTTACAGTAGGCGATTTTCTAGTTTGGTCGGCAAGTGGTTATTCAGAAACATTCCTGGGGATACAACTGGGGGTGCACCGAACCGCTCTTCATTCAGATGGGCGCTTGTCAAGATTTTGGGGTGCCCTAAATCCTAAACACTCCTAAGCTATGCTTCCACATTCCGATGCTGAAAATGGCTCATTTTCGAAGATGTTTGTGGGGTCTAAACAGCTCTTTTCGGCTTTGGCGCAGGAGTGGTCGCGTGTAAGGAGACCATTATGAAGTGCCAGAGCGCGATGGAAATTCAGAACTGCTGCTGGCCGGATTCCGGGACTTGGGGGTGCAGGGTGTTTGCTGGTGGACATAACCATGGGATTCTAGCCACCATAAGCTGGGATATAGTCACCATAATTATGACCATTATTGAACATGGTCATAGAAATATTAAGAATGGTGATTTTCCATAGTTATGTTAGTTTACCAGAGGGTATGACCATATACTCATTTATCGCATGGACCCGAACCCTTCAAGATGTAATTGCATCCCCACGAGTGGGCTCCTGACCGAGAAACGCATGAACGTCCGGCCAATGTCTTGTTCATTCTGTCGGTTAAAAGGATTTCATCTAGAGAAAGGCATGAATATTACTCCCTAGTAAACCTTGGATAGTAATATTCATGCCGTCATGATCATGATCAGTTGATCCAAGGTTTACTAGGGAGTAATATAGATGATCATCATGACATGGATCATCTGCCATCATGATCAGCTACAGTACTGTATCGGTTGATCCTGTTGAAAGCCTTGGGGTCACGCGATGTCCTTTTCCTACTTCTCGAGTAACCTTTCTATTTTCCACAACCCATGGGTATATCTTGTCCCAAAACAACCCCTCAATGTGCTGATCCTGGTTGTGACCGTTTATCCTCTCCCCCAATCAATGCCCAACCACCCAAGAACCCGGTCTACCATTGGATTTGCTTCATTTTGCAGGAAAAAGAGGGGTTTGAGTGGGGAATGGGATTAGATTATCAACCTATTAAGATATATCATCAACAGCCCTACTTTTATGAGATTATGGATCTACATTGTTTAATGGGATTGTTAGTGATTTCAACTCCCCACCAGACCGCGCCGAGGTTTGGTGAACTTCTTTGAGTCGCTGTACGACCCATCCAACTTGGTGGAGTTGGTGGCGGCCACGGAATACCAGCTTTGGGATGACGTCCCTGAGATGGCGATAGTTGAACTGACTGGGGGATGCTGGGTTTATGGCCGCCACATATGTATAGTGATTGATCACTGTTTTGGAGGCATTGCCCTAATTATATATAACCAACAGGGTTTCTGGATGCGCGGTTACCTACCTACCTACCCACCTAACCTAACCTAACCTAACCTAACCCTACCCTACCCTACCTACCCTACCTACCCTACCTACCCTACCTACCCTACCTACCCTACCTACCCTACCTACCGTACTATGTGGCAAGCCATGGCAGAGCCAATGACTAGCCATGCCGCCGAAATGGGTTTATGGAACTGGCCAATGGACACCCACATGTTTCATTCGAAAACCAGCATCTCCAAATGGGTGACTTCTCATTTTGCAGGTTTGACTATTAGAGGGTAGCTTCCATACATATATATATATACAATTATATATATAATTACATGCATACCTACAACTCTACCCAGAGATAGCATTCGGAATTCATGGATTATTTGCTGCACCCCTTTTTGTCACAACGGGACCGGACTTCTTGATCTTCCGAGGCCAAGAGCAAGATGGCTGGGAAGGTGGGTTTGGGCGCCCTGCACACCATGGACTACGAGAATTCCGTGCCGCGACGAAACAACATGCATGGTGAAGCAATGGTGATGAGATTACAAGGGTATGGATCAATACCTATTAATACCATTTTTAGTGGGATGAACATCCATTTACCAGCTATTTTGATGTTCACCAGGGGTACAAGGTTTTGACACACTGCCAAATGTATTTATTTTCGTGTGTTATATCCATATGCATATTTATTGCAAGTGCATATATATATATATATATCTGGATCTGGTTGGTGGTTTGGAACATGAATTTTATTTTTCCATATATTGGGAATAATCATCCCAACTGACGAACTCATATTTTTCAGAGGGGTAGGTATACCACCAGCCAGATATGGTTTGGATTTGCGTACGTATCGAAGTTTTGACTTATGGCTTGAACTTCCGAATCCTCCTTGAACTTTTCATGGCGCGTCCTCCTTTTTGCTTCTGAGGTGAAGAATTGGGAGCACTACTTCTTCCATCACAGGCGGCTGTTTTCAGTGCAGCTTGGGGGTGCATCCCATTCAGTGGGTTATAACCTACATATAGCTGGGGTGTACCTTATACATAGCCGCTATATATATATAATAACATATAATATATGGTATATAACACACACACATATATATATACATACACTGTATATATATATAAATATGTATATGCAGTATATATAGATATACGTATATGTATATGTATATATATATATATGTCTAGGGTATATGGGTATATTGTGGTTCCTAACCACATGCTGGGATACACATCCAAGTAGTGATATCAGCGCATATCAGTGCTGTCGGAGTCGACTGGGCATGTGACTGGGGAATTCTTATGAATTCTTCATCATTGCGGGGGGCGGCCACCAGGCAGCAGAATGCGGTGCTTCGAGATTTGACGCAGAACAACAATAGCCTTGGCAGCGTCGCCAACGCCACCATCGCCAGCAACCAATCGGCGATGACCAACAGCGTGCCGACTGCGGGAGATGTGCGTGTCACCACCCGCAGTGCAACTTGGACCTTGCTGCAATCCAACTCAGCAAAGGAATGAATTATGGAATATCCCAACATATCCCAACTTTGCAGATTATGAAACCATATTTAGCCTAGAAATTCAAACATATCATCTTTCATGTTCCATTGTACTCTTCAACTTCTGCAGGCGCAGCGGAAGATCTAAATTGTCATCCCAGGGCTCGGTCCACGAATATTTAAGGACCTAGAATCATGGTCATCTACATTAGTATCTATATAATAGCATACGCTATAATATCATGTATATCAACATCTATATTTACATTTATATCAACATCATATGCATTTTTGTGAGTTAGTATCAACATGTATACCAACATGTCTATCTACATTTATAATATCAACATGTAACATATGCATATATGAGTCATCCACATAATATGCATCAACATCTATATCTACATGTATATCAACATCATATGCATATATATATATAAATCATATATGAGTCACCGTGAAAAATGGTTGACCATAACAATAAGAACTAGCCATAGCAACTACCCACGGATCTCTGCCAAGGTGACCAAGGTGATCAACAACTTCATGATGCAATTCCAGAGCGCACCGCGGCCATTTTTGTCAGAAACTCACGCAGGGGCACACATACACAATGTACACACACACATATAAATATATATTATGTTTAACAACAACAACAACAACAACAATAACAATAATAATAATAAAACACAATAATTAATTATTATAATAATTATATATATGCACACGTAAACTTACATATTTGATTGCGGGCGTTTAATGATTTTTCCCACTGAGTGATGATCCCATTCCTCCGTTGTTTTTTCGACCTCACTGCTGGACGTGCCGAACATGTTTGTTGTGCCGTTCAATGTTTATCCCATATTTTTCTGGCATTTTAAGAGCAACAAAAACAGTTACAACCGTTACAACCCAATAAACCTAATAAATTTCATCGCCAGCTGTTTTTTTTTGGGCCTGTTTTCCATCTCTTTATGGACCTGTTTTCCATCCGAGGAAAAGCTGAATCCCACCAACAAGATGGGCATCATCCGTCAGATGCCTGCAGAAATCTTGCGCATGAGCCCTGCAGAAGTCGATGACAGCCTGGTGGGCACGGCGCCTCGACGGCGACCCAAGAGAGCCAAGGGTGGCACCAGGTGATGAAATTTTCGAATACTGAGGAACCTCACTGGAATAGTGGTTAAGTAAGGGGAAGTATTCCCAAATCACCTTATTTCAGGTTGGTGAATTATTTTTATTTGCCCAGATTTATGAGCCACACGCAGATCCCCATATAGTGTATGGTTGTGAGGGCCCCTGACAATCTATTTGCTAACCATCTGCCAGAATCTACCATTATCTACCAAGCTTTCTCCCAACTTTAGCTTGATAGTTGTAATTCCGATCGTGAAGGTGCCCTCCAAAAGTCAGGGAGAATCTCCATTCATCGCCCTTTTTTTGTCTCCATCAGTTTCTTTATTTTAGTTTTTGTTCAGCTCTTCCATGCCCCTCCAGATCCGGAAAATCATCTAACACACAGACCCACAGAAAATTGGGCTTCCATGTGACATTTCAATGTTCTGTTGACCCTTTGTTAATTTAACAGCGCCAGAGGCAACTCATTGAGTTGTAGATGATTTACCTCAAACGAACATGGTCTTTTTTTAACGATTCTCGGAGAGTAGGGGGTGCAGTTCGAGTTGTAACTGGTTAACAATAGTTATGGGGGTCATATATGTATATATATATATATGTCAACTTATTGGGCGTGATTACAATGGTTACAATACTCATAAACAACTTAATAGGCCCAACTGCACTTATAGCCCTTTAAAGTTACAACTGGCTTATAATCTCATTCAAGTGATATATAACCTGAGTTGCGGGAGTTCTTTCATCCCATTTGGTTAGCCCTTTCTGAATAGGGCCCCATTTAAGTGACGTATGTCTCAGGTGCACACCTGGTTCGCCGTGTTGGGGGAACGTTTCAAGACGCCTCTGCCGCCGGCGGTGCTGCGGAGCGTGGGGGTGCCCGCCTGCAAAGGCGCCATGGCGGAACCGAACCTGGACTCCGCCAGTTGGGATCAGCAGCCCGCAGCAGGGAGGGCAGCAGGGGTGATGAAAATCATCGGTGCTGGGGATTTTTTGGGAGGTGAACTTGATGAACCCAAGGTTTTTGAGCAATAACAATGCGATTGGTTTTCATTCGATGGTGAAGTTGGAGGAATTTTGATCGTTTGATGGGACACATTATGATGTAGTTTCATACACTGCAGACAGACCTTGGAAAAATGACACCCACTTTACAAGAAACCATCTTCCAAGGCACATTTTTCCCCAGCTTTGCCCTCTGCTGCAACCACAGCCCACCTGAGTCGCACTGAGGCAAGTGCGAAAGGCAGCTGGAGAGGCGTGATCCAACCACGGAAGGGTTACTTTCCCAATGAAACTCTCCACCTTTTTTGCAGTACACTGAGTACACTAACTTAGCTACCCAATGGATAATTTGCAGCTGGTAGCAGTTTCCCATCATTTTTCAAATAGTTTTCCTGTTGAACATTGGGACTTCCTATTATCAGTTTTACATGTCCAAAGGGTAAAGTAGAAGAAATATGAGGAAATAATCTGATTGGTACTTTTAAAGATGATTCATATGGACATTTGTTTACATTTCCCCTTGAGATTTTGAGTTTCTCGCTGAATCCCCACGGTCAAAAAAAGGGCCAAAAACACCAGGCCTGGGGACCCTATGCCGCGAAGATCTTTGCCATGTTCAGCATTCCCCTTGAAAAGCGCATCAGTTTGCACGAGTCCCATGGCGAATGGGTCGCTATGTTGAGCCCGAACACTGGAAAGAGTTCCACATTCCATCCTAAGTCTGGAGGCACCCAACTTGGACTTGATATTCGAAGTGGCTGATTGTGCAGGTGCGATAGGGGGTGTTTTGTAACACCCGTCTGGCACTGTGTTGGGATGTCCAAGATGGCATAGGTCAGCCCTGCTGACAGTTCCAGCGGTTCCAGCCACCATGGCTACCGGATCGGCCCCGGATCGGCCCCAAGCTCCGATCATCCCCAGATGGGGTACTTTTGGTACTATCTTTTGCCATTTACCCTCTGGTTATGGCTGACATATATAGCCATGGTTTTGCCATGGCCCGATTTTCGAAATAGATGGTAAACACCGTTCTTAAACATGGTGGATCTTTCCATGGTATGTGGTGCTAAATTTCAACCACACCAGCCGAAGCAATAACTTCGGACATGGTATTTTTAAGATTGGCTATCGGACTTTCATATGAGTTTGTCTGACATGGTGCCCCCAATTTATCCCATGATGTAATGGTAACTCTATGGGTGCCCATCCCCCATGTTCAGCCACACTGAGTCCCGTGATTCATTGGTCAGATCCCTGGTTAATCAATGTTAATCATGGCCAACCATTTTCCATGGGAGTTTCCAGTTTCCACATCCAAAGTTGGGATAAGCATGGATAAACCCCCAAAAAATCAGCATGGAACAAAGAGGGTTTTCCGTGATCTTCCGTGCCTGAAAAGCGTTGGATTTTCCGTGGCGTTCCGAGGTTCTTCTTGGGCTTGATCGTGTGTTCCAAGGGCACCGTCTCAGAGAAAGCCATGGCGCTCTTCCACCTGTTTTCGTACGCGGGGCCTGAGCCGAAACCTGGAGATGTTGGAAATGCCATGGGGATTTTCGTACGGGAAACTCTTGGAAAGGTCAAATGTATGATACGGCCCCAAATGGGTAAAATGAAGCCAGTGCCTTTTTTTCATTGTAGCATCTCGGCTTCACACATTTCTGCGCAAATGCGCAAAATGGGGAAGAACCGCAGCTGAAAAAATATATATGTATACACATTTATATCCATATATATATATATCTATCTATCAAACTAACTATCCACCTATCTATCTTATCTAATCTTATCTTATCCTATCCTTATCCTTATCTTTATCTTTATCTTTATCTTATCTTATCTTATCCTATCTTATCTTATCCTGTCTGTTTGTCTATCTATCCTATCCTCTATCTATCTATCTATCTTATCTTATCTAATCTAATCTATATAATCTAATTTAATCTAAATCAAATCAAATCAAATCAATTCAAATCAAATCAATTCAAATCAAATCAATTCAAAGCTAATCTAATGTAATCTAATCTAATCTAATCTAATCTAATCTATCTATCTATCTATCTATCTATCTATCTATCTTCCTATCTATCTTCCTATTTATCTTCCTATCTATCTTCCTATCTATCTATCCTATCTATCCTATCCATCCTATCTATCCTATCTATCCTATCTATCCTATCTATCCTATCTATCGAATATATCTAATCTATCTAATCTATCTAATCTATCTAATCTATCTAGTCTATCTATCTAATCTATCCAATGTATCTATCTAATCTATCTAATCTAATCTATCTAATCTATCTAATCTATCTAATCTATCTAATCTATCTAATCTAGCTAATCGATCTAATCAATCTAATCTGTCTAATCTGTCTAATCTGTCTAATCTGTCTAATCTGTCTAATCTGTCTAATCGATCTAATCGATCTAATCTATCTAATCTATCTAATCTATCTAATCTACCTAATCTAATCTTAATCTAAATCTAATCTAATCTAATCGAATCGAATCCAATCGAATCCAATCCAATCGAATCTAATCTAATTTAATCTTAATCTAACCTTAATCTACAGTAATCTAATCTTAATCTAGTCTTAATCTAATCTTAATCTAATCTAATCTTAGTCTAATCTAAATCTTAATTTAATCTAATCTAATCTTATCTTAATCTAATCTAATCTTAATCCAATCTTATCTATTCTTATCTTATCTTATCTTATTCTATTCTATTCTAATTCCATCTCCAATTCTATTCTTATCTGTTCTATTCTTATCTATTATTCTTATCTATTCTTCTCTATTATTCTCTATTCTTCTCTATTCTTCTCTATTCTTCTCTATTCTTCTCTATTCTTCAGTATTCTTCTCTATTCTTCTCTATTCCTCTCTATTCTTCTCTATTCTTCTCTATTCTTATCTATTCTTTTCTATTCTTATCTATTCTTATCTATCTATTCTTATCTATCTATTCCTATCTATATCTATCTATATCTATCTATATCTATCTATATCTATCTATATCTATCTATATCTATCTATTCCTATCTGTTCCCATCTATTCCTATCTATCTATACACGTAAAACACACGCATTTCTTGGGGGTCATCCATTTTTATCCCTGATAACATGTGAAGCGACACTAGTTTTGAGGATCTTTTCAGCAAATCCAAGGAACCTGCAGCACATGAACCCCATCAGCCATGCCACGCACATCATTATCGAGCGCAACGAGGGCAAGAACGTACAGGAAGAGAACCAGTTTGCCAAAGCACCCAGGGATGATGAGATCAAAACCATGGCGCTGCATTTGCAGGTCGCATGACTTGACAAACGGGTGCTGGTTTCCCCGGGTCAACAATGCCATTTTGGTGGCACCAGCAAACATTGGTTTCCCAGGATCAACTCGGGAACTACAAGCAATATGACTGCTTCGTGCTTTCATCTTGTCATATGACCATTTTTCACTTTCAAATTTCTTGATGACCCCCCAAGGGGATGTCCATATCTTTCCCCCGGGGCTTCAGTGAAAAAATTCCCCGAATCGCGCAGGTCTACGTCTATGCCATGGGAGCCAGTCAACTGCATGAAACCGTGCTGGGTGAAGTCTTTGTACCGAGCCTGGTGCCTTTTGTCGCTCGGTTGGCCATCAGGATGGCCATGGGAATCCCAAAGTCATAGTTTGAACCCTGGAAGATAATGAGATACCTGGACAAAAACAAGCAGGCTCCAGATAATCTGGCGTTCATCCTTAAATTCGCTGGACTTTGAGGCTGGGCTATTCGGCTATTCCCAAACCCACCATTAGAATCATTAGATACCGTACCTACATTTTAATTCCCAAACTAGAATGATAGAATCATTAGATACATACCACCATTAGAATCATAGCCCAACATTAGAATCATTAGAATCTTTAGTTCAACACCTCAAAGCCCAAACTTTCAGTTTGAGACTCCGGGACTTCGGCGCTGGAGAGGGACACCTAGTCATCGTCCCTCCATCTGCATCACCGCATCGCTGGGACCTGTTTTTTTTCAAATCCATTTGGTCGAAATTTGATCCAGTATCAACTCCTATATTTCCCCACATCAATTGACAATTTGACCACCCAAAGACGTACATGTCCGACATCACATTTTTGCCAACCCAAAAACTATGAAAAACCTAGCCAAACCCCAAGAATTCCACCCAAAATTCCCCCCCAAAAATTCAAAGATGCCCTCCAAGTCACATCCCCCATCACCGTGAGGTGACGATGTCCTTGGTGGGTGACAACCCCAGAACTTTCACGGTTTGGGGCCCTGAGAAGCAGCTTCCTCCGGGCTTCAGCCGCGAGACCGACGCCGCCTTGGTGACGGAGCATGGCGTCAGACCGTACCTGGGAGATATGGTGCTGGATATCAAGTGGATGCCTGAGAGTCCAAGCAGACCGGAAGCTGGGCTTCAGTTGGGCCAGGGCAGTGCCGGCTTCAGCAAAGATGGGACATGATGGGACTCTGAGAGGATCCCGAATAGGTAACATGGCGAACTGGAACTTTCGAATAGGTAAATCACCTATAAATAGATTATAAATAGCATAAATGGCCGTTTTTATTGCTATTGTGTTAAATTACCAGAGGGTATCATAGAAAAGGTGGCAACCAATATAAATAGATGATGGAAATTGACCCCTTTGGCGGAGAAAGCCGGTACCTTTTAAAAGGCAACAAATGACCGACACTGGTTTTAACTTGTCGCACTTGCTGGGAGATATTGGTTCCAAGTGCAACATGTTGCAGATGCGGGTAGGGTCTGCTGGAAAGTTGCCATGAACGGTATCCCATCAGGTACAATATGTCTTCACCGCAACAAGGCCATCCTTTTGAAATCTTTCTCCATAGCTGTAGTGAATCACATCTCAGGGGGTTTCTTGAGACGCTCTCTGCGAATTGCTGGCAGCCGCTTTGCGATGGGAAATCCTTTTGTTCAGTGGAACGCCCCCTATGAAATAAACATGGAACATGTTCCACTCCCGTTCGATTGTCCTGGGAGTGGGCCAAACAATTATGCGACGCCCCATGTTGAGACAGACTTGTAACTATTATATAATTATTATATAATTAATATAATTATTATATAAGCTGTTGGTTTTAAAAAAAACATATCTAGAAACATGCACCCAATTTGCCAAATATCAGATTGTTGATGAAACACAACGATAACTCCCCTTGATATCCCCTACACATCCTATGCCCATGCCCAACAGCCGAAAAGCTTGACACCTGCCATCTTTTTGGCGTTTGTTTGGAGCAATGATCCACACACACACAGACATGCACACACACACACATATATATATACACACATATATATATATATGAATATGTATTATACAGGTAAATATAAGTAAGTAAATCAAGAGATAAATCAATAAAATTTATTGCGCAGCCATCCAGCCATCAGGAAGTGGGGCAACTGGGCATCAACCTCCAGAGCTTGACCCTGAACCTGGACGCGCCAGAGACGAAGAATCCACGTGTGGCGGTGCGCCAGGGTTACCCTGGGGATGGGGCCGGTGCGCCAGAAACCCCGGTCTGTGAAAAAAAATGGTAAGCTCAAAGGTTGAAATATGGTGTGAAATGTGGTTGAATATACCCTCTGGTTATTTAACATAGCCATGGAAGCCATGGCCCATAGAAATAGATGATTTTCCCATTAAAACCTCCATTTATGAGGGATTTTCCATGGCTATGTTAGTCATAACCAGATGGTAGTTGAAAAATATAAAGTAATGGTGTGTGATTTAACAAATTGCCAAATTGCTGGATCCACCGAGAGAATTTCCCGCCGCAATGCTGATGGCTGGTGTGATGAAAAAACATGGGCCCAGATGATACCTGACGCCTGGATGTAATTCCGAAGCACTTCAGATCGGGCTGCTGCTTCCTACCGGTGCCCCAGAGTTAGCCAAGTTGGTTTATAATTTATAACTCTAGGTTTATATACCTGTTTTTTTAATGATGATTGTAGGATATGTTTTTCCGAAGGCAAATTACGACTTAGTGTGATGGATATTTTCATACTTTGATGTTTTTAAATTTGAAACCAACTTACAACTTATACTTTGAAATCTTTGATTTTGACTGTAACTAGTGAGAAAAGCGATGTTTCCACCCAAAACCGCGTGTAAACTCGTGGCTTCGTTTAGCGCTGCGCCGCTAGCCCTTGCAGATCTACACCTACACCGAGAGCGGAGAGAAGGTCCAGTTGAAACGATGGGACCCCCGCAGCACCATGCGGAAGGTCTCCAATACCCTGGCCATGGCGCCGAAGGCCGGATCTGGCTGATATGGTGGCTGGTTGATGCTATGAAAATCACAATATTTGGTAATCCAACAATTCAACTATAGGGGTTTTCTATAGCTGGCTATGTAACCAGAGGGTATATGAAACTAGCACTTGGGGCTTGATGTTCATTGTTAATAGATCTTACGTTGATTGCTTGCATACCTTTTTTTTGGGTTTATTTGTGTGGGTCATGCGATAGATAGGGAATGATAGGGATATAGTTCAGACATGAGGTGAACACATGGTTTTTCTCTCATGTAGTAAGATGAGGGAAGTAACTTGGCACGAGGTGGGCAGTAGATAGAAGTTTTGCGAGGAGACTAGAAAGATCTAGAAAGTTGGGAAGGTAGATGTGACCGGCACGTGCTTTGGAAATCTTTGGAACCGGCACGATGCTTCAGATGTTTTCCCGAAACCACGGGGTGGGCTTCTGTTTTTGGTATGTTGGTTTCGGTGTGGTAGCACGAAGTCCGGACATCAATCACAGGTGCCATTTCCCATTGCTATTTGCCAGGTGGGAAAGTACGTGGATTGGGAACGCACCATGCGAAGGGACAAGGTGACGGGACAACTCTTCAAGAAGTTCACTGCAGGAGATCACGGCTGGAACAAGGACGATGCATGGTGGTTGGGGGCGCCACAAGCTACGGAGGTAGCGGGGATGGTTGAGTCTGGGAGTCTGGGGTCTCGGCCAGAAGTGATCATTATCATTAGCAATCTTAGCATCTAGTTTCATCTTCTCCGAAGCTATTCCCCCAAAAAAATCCAAGCACAGGGGCCTTTCCTGGCCGCTTCCAGGAAGAGAAGGCCTGGAAGTGGTCCAACCTCCACGGTGCGCAGTACTCCATCGAGCGCACCCCGTTCCGCAAGGCTTGCTGCGAGCGGAAGCAGGCGCCCGGTGACGGGGGTTACGGCGCTGGTGGGGGCATGGGGGAAGTCATGGGAAGTGACGTCATGGGAACTATATGGAACTATCAATGGAAACTTCTGCTGAAGGTGAAACTGATCTAGGGGCGGGCTTAATCTCTTGTTTGGTGGTAGTTCCAGGGTTTTGTGGGTGCCCTGATCCGTGCTGGCGACAGTCAAGTTGAACCGAACCGTGGGGTAACAGTGTGTTTCTCAACGAAAAAGCATGTTGTGGTGAACGAGTTGATCTCCATGCAAGTTGCTGTGGCCTATGGATAAACATCTCAGGGGCTCTAGGACCTGTTTGATTTTCGTCCCTTCAGACAGCTCGACACGTCCAGTAGTGCCATGATGCCAGAACTTAGCATAGCCAATTTGACCCCACTACCAGCCACGCGCGTCAGGTGCTCGAGTCGGGTGGTGCAGGAAACGTCGTGAAGCCGAACCTCATCACCTTACCAGCGTGCCGTGTCATCACTGCGGGCATCCTAAGCCGCAGCTTGCATCCAGTCACGCATCGTCAGGCACGGCACATTGGCGCTTTGCGAAACAGGGTCTAGAGTGTTATTGGAGTCTTCCCAAACATTTCAAGCAGGCTTAAAAAATCAAAATCAATCAAACTCATTCAAATCCCCAAATCGCCAAAAGTTGAAGAACATCACGGGCCCCCAGCGGCCCACGGCCACGGGCCCCCTGGGCACCTCAGGCGGTACTGATGGCGGATCAGATCTTCAACCGCTGCGGCGCCGTGCCTGGCATCCTGGATGCCATCATCGTCCAAGGCGACGCCGGCGAGGCTTCCGAGAGCCTGGCCAAGGCCAAGGCGCGTCGCGCGCAGCGTAGCAACGGGCCATGGCCATCCAGGGAAATCACCAAAAGAAAGGCAGGTTCTTTAGGCAACTGAGATCAACTGAGGCATTTTTTTTTTGTTCGTTTTTTCAATCTGGTGGTTTTTTTTTTGGGATCTTCAGTTTTCCGGGCCCTGGTTGAAACACTCTGAGGGGAAAACCTGATGCTGCCTGATGCTCTAGTGACTGAGAGGGCGATGAACGATTCGAACCAGCTTGGATCTGTTTGTTGGGTGCAGGTTGGTTACCAGCCTCCAGGAAAGTGTGATCATCCCCATCCATTGATACCCACCTGAGTCCCCCAGCTAGTTTCTAGCTGGGAGCGCCCAAGTCCTGCAGAATCTGGGCTTGAATCCATAACCTTGTGCGGCAGAATTCTGCTATTGTGAGGTCCGTAGCAGCCCGATGACCCTAGGAGTTGAATTTCCTTATCCTCCTCGGGGGTGTTGATGCGCCGTTCGCATTTATGGTAATGGTGATGCTGATATGAATCCCTTGAGAGCCTCAGCACCACCTGACAAATCCCAAAGTTCCTGAGATTTGGCAGGAAGAATTCGCTGAGCTGGGACGAAGCTGGCAAGATGTGAAGAAGTACATGATCGTTGCACATGAGCCTTGGAGCCACATTCCCACCCAGTCACAGAGTCCCTTTCACAGATACCGGGTGGTTGGGGTTCGAAAACACCTAGCCAGGGCCCAGAGTCACAGGATGATTCAAAAGGAACACCTTAAAGGTTTGCGCCCCCAGGGGCCCATGCCGGGATAAAGGTCATCCCCGAAAGATACTCCCAACGTCTCCCAACTATCTCTGGCAGATTCGGAGCCCCCTTGCGCCTTAAGGAGTTGCAGGTGATGATGGGGAGCTACGGGTTGAACCTCTTCACCCCGGATGCCGTGCGCGAGTCAGGCAGACCCTTGAGTTTGGGCATGCTAGAGATCAAGGAGCTGATGCTGATGGGGTCATGGCAGGAATGGTTTCCCTAGTTTCCCTTTAAAGAAGCCTCGAATCCAGAGAACTTGGAGTGTCTTGTTCACGCGAAAACCTGAAACAAAGTTGAATTTCCGGGGGATTATATCCACATATATATATATATAATTATATATATATATATATCTATATCCATCTTCGCCACTGCGAATGGTCCTCCGATCTGCTCCACATGCATTCAGATCTCTCAAAGAGAGATGGGAAGATCATCTAAAAGAAACTTGGGACACCATTTCTGGTTGGTGGTTTTGGAACATTTGGATTATTTTTCCCATATATAGGGAATAATCATCCCAACTGACTTTCTCATATTTTTCAGAGGGGTAGGTCAACCACCAAGTTGCCCAACAGATTGGATCATCTTGGACTCCAAAGCAGGACCCTTACCCCGGGCAGACCAAGACCCTGTGGCTCCGCTATTGCCGCGCTGGAGATGGGCAGAGGAGGGGATCGGCGTCACCGTTAGACTTGGATGACGATGACAGCGGAACCATTAGAACCGATTACCCTCTGGTAAACTAACGTAACTATGGAAAATCACCATTTTTAATGGGTGAATCCACTATCAATGGCCATTTTCAATAGCTATGTTAGTTTACCAGAGGGTAAGAATTTTCCAGCCTACCCTAGGGTTCTCAAGTGTTATAGATGGAAAATATGGGAATTATGAACGAGGGTACCCTCAAGTTCTTAACGGTTAGTTCTTAAGGGGTTCATATGGTGAGGGTTTTGCCAATTCATTTTGGTGTGGCATTAGGTTGCAAAGGAGACGGGGGGAAGAAAACAACTTTTTAGGTCCCGAAAAGTTTTTTTCGGGTGCAGGCATTCCAAACAGAGCTATAGGCTCCCGATTTTTTTTTGATTTGGGCGCCAAAACAAGCCAAGGGCAGCCTCCGAAGTCAAATGACCTTCAGTGGGTCTGGCTGGTGTCTGGCTGAAGCTGTCGACGTCAGCCTTAGTGACAAGGGTTCGGGTTTCCCTGGGGCCGCGCCATATTTGTCATCGTTTCCGCGGTACATAATCTTTCTTTTGGGAAATAGCTGCTAATAATCAATGTTGGTATATTGATACCCGTTAAAGGGGAATAAGAACCAGTGGCTAGAATTCCTGGGTACCCTTGGCTTCTTATTTCAATTAGCTGACAGAAAGGGTTGAATCCAGCAATCCAACCCCTGAAGTTCTTATTGCAGTCGGTTCTTAAACAGTGGTTTCGCTGTACCTCCATTTAAGGAACCCCCCTTTGAGATTTGGATATCTACATTCCCTATTACATCGGGGAGCCAGCTACCAAGAGATGTGCCCAACCACAAGATAGATCACCTCAGAGAAACCACCCATTTGGGACTGGTTTATATCACCTATTTATGGTGATTTTCCTGGGGTTTGGTGCCAATGGCATTGTTTTACCCACATTCTTGTAAACACCCCCGGCAAACCCTGGGACCATCCCTAGCGATGATGCTCCCGGAGTCCTGGACTGCCACAAATACAGCAACATGATGCAGCAGATTTTGACATACCCTCTGGTAAATAAACATAGACCCCGAAAATCACCAATTTGTAATGAAAACTATTGAAAACTCATCTTCCAACCCCGACAACTGGCAGGGTCGTCATGTTAATTTACTGGAGGGTAATCCATTCCCTCTGTTGAATAGCAGCTGCAACCAAAACCATGGTCTATTGCTCGATCGATTCATTTTGGACGTTTCTTGTTCGGAGTCCGGGGGGTGTTTCTATGATGGGATTGCTACGTTCCAGAGATGGTTTCAGGGACAAACCATGGGACCCCACCATGATGGTAAAACCCAGGATGTCCGAGTTTCCCCAAAAAAACAATTGGTTCAACCACGATATCCACGGATTGGTTCAACGGGATTTAAAGATGTAAAAACACCATGGGTTTCAAATTCAACCAATTTCTCAATGGATTGGTTTAAGGGAAAACTTACAGGAATCCCCCATGTTGAATGGGAAAATCTATCGTTTCCTGTAGATTTTCCCTTAAACCAATCCATTGAATTTCACTCCACTCCCGAAACCCACTGGATCCGCGTGGATCGCAGGTTCAACAGCCGCATCTTGGCGGATGGCGATGGCAGTCTGCGGGGAGGCGCGGTGAAGTTGGACTTCGACGTAGAAGCCGAGCCGGACGCGGCCAATGCCCAGCTGCAGCTCTCCAAGCAGGACGGGGGTATCGTTGGGACTGAAAACAAGCCATGAAGTCCAGGGAAAATTGATGAAAATTGGAATGAACTTTGACATTTGCAAGTGGGATGGCAGTTTCTTTTTTGATTGCAAAAGGAATTTTGCAGGGGAATGCGTAGTTTTGATTGGGGCTGCATTTGCATGGCATAAGCATGTGGACCAGACCGTAAACCTGTTTGGCAAGGTTGTCCCCACTGTCACCGTAGGTGCATCATGGGGAGTTGTTGGAAAGGATTTGTCTAGGTGAGCCAAAGGTTTTCTTGGAGTTGCTCTTCTGGGCTTTGAAACTTACCCTCTGGTAATTTAACATAGCTATTGAAAATACCCTAATTATAGTGAGTTTTCCCATTAAAAATTGTGATTTTCCATAGTTATGTGAGTTTACCAGGCCGGGTAAAAATGGTGGTGAAATAGCGCAAACAGAGCACCTGTCTCAAGGCGACAGGCGGATCTCGACTCCAGGAGTTCGTGAATTGCTTCTGCTCTTCACCGCTGTTGAGTGAGACCTTGAGGCAGTTCTCCACCACCGACAACAGCACCAAGAACGTGCCCGAAGGCATTGCCATCAACCTGGATGTGACCATCTCGGATCCAACCAAGGATTTCCCGTCTGGGTCTGACTTGGGACTTGTGGGGCTTGAGAGCCGTAGTTACTCAAAAGGTATAAGTTATAAAAGGTTCATAGTTGTAGGATCTACCTTTCCTAGATGCTTTCTTGGAAGATAGGGAAGCACACTGCATTTCTAGCATGCTCCGATTCCAGATTCCAGAAGGGATACTTACCTTCTGGTTATCCAACATAGCTATGGAACATGGCCCATTTAGTTCGATGATTTATGTTGATTTCTGATGATTTAACCATGATTTACCTATGATTTACCTGGTGATTTTCCCGTTCGCTCACCGTCACATTACCAGAGGCTGCGGTGTCCGCAGGAAGAGGCTGACGCTGACCTCATGGACACGCTGAATGTGCGGCAAGCCGTTCTCCTTGAGGCGAGGAACTCGACGTGGCGCTTTTGCCCTGCAAATTTGAAGCCGGACACACACACACATATATATATAAAATATAATATAATATAATATAATATAATATGATATAATATAATATAATATAATATAAATAACATAATATAATATAATATAATATAATATATGATATATATATATATATTAGCATGTCGCTCTAGCACGTTTTTGAGGGGTCTCTTTAGAGCCTATGTCTGCCTCCATTTTCTGCATTACTGCTCCCTTAACTTTCTCCATTTTCTGCATCACTGCTCCCTTAACTTTCTCCATTTTCTGCATTACTGCTCCCTTAACTTTCTCCATCAAGTCAAGGGCAAAGTCTGGGACCGTAAGCTACCAAAGCCACAATGCTATGCCGAATTTGGTGAAATGATTTCGAGTCCCCAAATTGGCCTCCAAATTCGCCCCCAGGGGCCCCATTACTGCTCCCTTAACTCCCCCGAGTTAAGGGAGCAGTAATGGAAAAAGTTAAGGGAGCAGTAGTGGAAAGTTAAGGGAGCAGCAATGGAAAGTTAAGGGAAGTTAAGGGAACAGTTAAGGGAACAGTAATGGAAAATTAAGGGAGCAGTAATGGAAAGTTAAGGGAGCAGTAATGGAAAGTTAAGGGAGCAGTAATGGAAAGTTAAGGGAGCAGTTAAGGGAGCAGTAATGGAAAATTAAGGGAACAGTAATGGAAAGTTAAGGGAACAGTAATGGAAAGTTAAGGGAGCAGTAATGGAGAGTTAAGGGAGCAGTAATGGAAAGTTAAGGGAACAGTTAAGGGAGCAGTAATGGACAATTAAGGGAACAGTAATAAAGAAAACGTGTTAGAGTAACATCCTAATATATATATATATAATATAATATATATATATATAATATATATATATAATATATATATATATATGTTATATATATATATATCATCGCACCTGGTGTTTTCTTTCACATTTTTCAATGTTCATGGAAACACCATGATGGTACTGACCAGCATGACCAGCATATTTTTCAGGGAGTGGATCAGCCACCAACCAGATGGCAGCCATCCTGAAACAAACCATCCCTCCGCAGCCAGTGAATATTAGACTGAAAAAGCACCCATCAAATATCACACATACACACATAGAAATCATAGAACGTATACATACATATACATTTATGCATCCAATCCAATCCAATCCGGTCTAGGGCCAACCCTCTGGAAGCCCGGGCAAAACAAATCCAATCCAATGCAACCCACACCAAACCATAAACTAATCGTGTATATATATATCATATATGTATGATGTGATTACATATGTATGTATATATATATATTACTTCCCCACCCACACAGATATATATATATATATATACACATATATATACATATACATTTGGCCATACATATATAAAATAAATAATGATATCTAATGTGCATTTTTTTCCATCCAAGCAGCACGGCAGATCTGGGACGCTGACATGGCAGACGACTTTCTGGGCGAATGCCTCCTGCCGCCCCTGGGCTCGCTGAGCGCCTCCTCCAAGCGCTACGTGCTGCCGGTGCTGCCGGCGCCGCCGGAGAAGGGCTCCACCCGTGGCTGGGCACCAAAAAAGGGGCCGAGTGGGACGCGGCTAAGCATTGATAGGTTGTAGGTGACAGGTTGACTAAACTATTTTGACTTGACTAGATTAGATTATAGCAGACTAGATTATAGTAGATTAGATTATGATAGGATTATATTAGATTATATGATATAAATTAGACTAGATATGGGGTGAAATGGGGCTGGGTGGCAGGAACATGACCCAGAAATTGGATGAAGCTGGGATTTTTCCATGGTGCCCGCAATACCCAGCATCCGCTCAGGATATCACAGCAAGAAGTTTGCCAAGGTGAACTGTGAAGGCTGCGGGGTGGAGCACTTGGATTTTCTTGGCCAAACAATTGCCACTGCGTGGTAATCTGACCATCAACAGTAGCACTGGAAAATCTCATATTGAAAGATGCTATCTCTAGCCTATACCCTCTGGTAATTTGTTACATAGCTATTGAAAATGACCATAGAAATAGTGGATTTTCCCATTAAAAATGGTGGATCTTTCCAGTTCGTTATGTAAACGTTTACCAGGCCGGGTAAATGAGGTTTCCGCCCATTTCGAGATGGATTTTCCCATGAACATCCACCACCACTCGTTCGCCAGGCTTCCTCCACGTGGAAGCTTCTTGGACCTTCCCCAGCGAGGAAGTGCCGCCTCTGCCGGATGCGGCCGACATGGAACGTCGGGTGAAGAGGGAAGAGATCCTCCACACCGGAAAGCTCCGGTTGAAGATTGTGAAGGCAGAGATGGGGCAGGGATATGATGGTTTTGGGATGTGATTCCTAGATTCCTAGATCATGTTTTTTTTGGAGAGATCTGGCCAGAACATGCTCATCCTCTCAGTGGCGCCCAGAGGAGATATCCATGGCCTTACAGTACTCGTACTTGCAAATCTTGCTACAAATTGTGCCAAGTCCCAGAAAATGTCCATTTGTAGATGGGCAATGCCCATAAACAGAAGGTAGCAAACAGTGAAAAAAACACTTCTCAAGCTTAATCATCATTAGCATTCTTATTCTTGTCATTATTTTACGACGTTTTAAGCTATTTGTATGTATTATGATGTTGCTCTCATTGAATCAGTAGAAAAAAGGCGAGGGTCACTAGCACAATAAATCAGAATAACTAGCTGATTAGTGGCACTGTCCTTGGTCACATTCTGTTTACATTGTCATGTCGTAAGCTGACCATTTTGGGATGAAATCCCATCCATAAAAATGATGATGGGGATGGGTAATGGCTTTGGGTTCGTTAATCCCATGAAAAAACTTCCACTATTTCATTTCTACAAATAGGTTTGCAAGAATCTCATGATGGATTTAAATTGCCATGGGATGATCTGATATGGTATATCATTGTATATCTATATATGGCATGTGCGGAAAACCGCATGGTTGCTTCAACGGATTGGGTGCAGGGAAAACTTACAGGAAAGCCGGAAAGCCCCTTTTTTTTCATGAGAAAATCGATGGAACATCGATGGTTTCCGGTTTCGATTTTCCCTTAAACCCATCCATTGATTGCTATTATTGAGAAGGTCAGTTCGCTGAGCCATAGCTTCATCGCAGGCAGAAGGCTTGAAGGGTGCCAGCCGCAGCTTCCGCCGGGCCGCTGGGCGAATGTCTAGTGGTCACTATTCATCAAATGTTTTGTTCAAAGGTGGATGGTTGATGGATTTTTGGTGGCTCATTGATCGTTTTTTTCTCCTGGAATTTTCAATAGAAAGTCTGATTGTGAATGGTGATGCATTTCTGATTTTTTGCTGGATTGTTTGTTGGTCACCTCAGTGACCTGCGAAAAACCCGAAAAACCTCCTTCTGCATCTGCATAGCTCTGATTTGGCTGGATTGTTTGGTTGAACCTCAGTGACCTGCGAAAAAGCTCCTTCTGCCAGGAAGGAAGTAACCCCTACGTATGCATGTATGTGAGGAACGAGGCCTTAGTGGAGAAGGCCCCTTGGGGGGTCCGGTCCGATTGCCCGATGGCTCGACCTTCAATGGTTTTTCGCTTAGCGCCCCAGATTTTTGTCACCTGAAAAGATGGACTCCCAATGATTTTAAGGGACTGGCAATGGCATATACGTTTTCAACCAGAAGATATTTGGGATGATTATGGATATTTGGGATGATTATATATATATATACATATAAATATAACTATCCCCAAATGACCAGTGTGATCTTTGCAGCTTGAAACATGTTGAAACCATCTTGGATGGTTTACTGCTGCAAAACAAAAAACATCTAAAGCTGATGACATGTATGTGACTGACTGACGCAACATTTTTGATAGCCATTTAATGCAGGCATAGTTACTTGTCATAGTTCTTTCACGCCCTCACTCACTGAGGGCATCGTAAGATGGTGATTATGTCCTTACGATATCGGGGATAAACATGAATCCATGGTAGTTTTGATCGTAGCTCTGGCTTTTCAGGGTATGTCGTGGGGCCACGCTCACAATTGTGGGTGTGGCCTTTGTACGTGTTTTCCCCGGGTGTTTGCTTTGGTGGCACTCGGGACCCCTTCACCGGGGTGGGTGCCGTGGGCTTCAGACCGCCTGCGGATCCTAGAGGCTGATCTCCGGGACGAGCTTGGGCGAAGGGGAGCACCGGCCTCGCTCACTCAGGCCAACGAGCCTAGGCCTGCTCCCAAGGCAGCGACAGGGGAGACAGGAGGTGACGCCACCACCTCCTCTCCCAAAAAGGCAGAGCCGGAACCGGCTGGGGCCACTGCCAAGGGGAAGCCGTGCGAGCCTCCCAAGGAGCTACATCCAGATCGTCCAGAGGAGGTCAAGAAAGAGGCACCAGCTGAGTTAGAAGAGAGGCCGCCAGCAGAACCAGAGGGAAGACCGCCAGCAGAGCCAGCCTCGTCATCCAGAGGCCATAGACGCTCGAGATCGAAAAGGTCACGGGGTCGGAAAGCCAGCCGCAGAAGCAGGAGTAGAAGAAGCCGCAGTCGACGCAGGTCCAGAAGGGCTTCATCCAGAGAGAGGGGAGGCGCCAGGTCTCCCAGAGATTGCCATCGAGACCGCCGAGAACGCAAAAGCCACCCAGAAAGGCCACCCGAACCTGAGGGGCCTCCTCCGGACAGGTCCTACTCAGCTCGGCCTCCGGAGCCGCAATACCCCCCACGTTACCCTCCAAGGGGTAGGGGTTGGGTTGGCCCAGTCCCCCGGAGTGATCATCCGAGGTGGACGCAATCTGAGAACAAAGGAGTGGTTAAGCGCGCGAAGCAAGAGCGCTTCAATCAAAGGAAGAGGAGAGACAGGCGCCGCTGAAGGGAGAGATGCCTCCCAAGAGGGCGCTCAGAAGACCAGCCGCCCGAGTCCGTGGCATCAGACGCCCTGCGGCGCTTGCAGCTGCTGAGGTCGAGAGGGCTGCAGATGAGCAGGGCCGGGCGCTGCATAGCCTTACCCTTCAGGAGCTCCAGGGTTTGGGTGCGGTGTATCTTTCAGATGCCCGATACTATGGCAGACTGGTCCAGGTTGCAGGAAGGATGAATGGCACGCGTCTTGAGGAGGGGCAGATGTTTGCTGAGCTGGCCGTCACAGGGACGAAGGATGATGAGCTGTTGCGGGTGCTCAGCGGCACTCCTGACAAGCTGCTGAGTATCCACCTATGCCCTGAAGACTGTGCCGGGAGCTTGACGGATCCCCTGTTGATCCATGGAAGGACGGTGCAACAAGTGGACTTGAAGCGGTTGCCATGGCTCACCAATTTGGTGGCTGTAGAACCAGTGCCTGAGAGGGAGCCTGATGATATGGCGAAGCTGAGGGAACTACAAGACAAAGCCCGTGCCGACGCAGAGGTGGACAAGAAGAAGGCGGCCAAGAAGGAGAAGAAGAAGCGCAGAGGTGATGGAGCAGGTGCTGGTGAAGGGAGGGATCTGAGACCTCCCAAAAGGCAGCAAGGCGATTTAGAGACAGGCCAGAAAGCGCTGGAGGATGTGTACTCCAGCACGGGGCTGGACCCTGACCCGGTGAGGAGAAAGAAGGTCCTGAAGCGAGCCAAGCGTTTGGGCAAGTCCAAGAAGAAAAAGAAAAAGAAAAGCTCTTCCAGCACGGAGGGGGCTGAGAGCTGTTAAATTTCGTGGGTCAGGGGGAGAAAGCTTTCAGAAAGGAAATAGAGGAAAAACAAGGGAAATAGACAAAAAACCAAACCTCAACCAGAGCAGGCATGTGACCATGGCAAAATCATGTGTTACTGGCCCAAACAATTTACACAGCAAAGGGAAAAACCATTGAAATAAAGCCAAAAGAGGTTGAACATATAAATATTTTGTGTGCCAAGATCCAAATGTATTGCCGCAGATAATTCCAAAGAGTTTAGGGTTTAGGATTTCCAACTGCATTGCCGCAGATCAAACCTAAGAGTTTAGGGTTTAGGATTTCCAACTGCATTGCCGCAGATCAAACCTAAGAGGTTAGGGTTTAGGATTTCCAACTGCATTGCCGCAGATCAAACCTAAGAGTTTAGGGTTTAGGATTTCCAAATGCATTGCTGCAAATCAAACCTAAGAGTTTAGGGTTTAGGATTTCCAACTGCATTGCCGCAGATCAAACCTAAGAGCTTAGGGTTTAGGATTTCCAACTGCATCGAAGCAGATCAAACCTAAGAGTTTAGGGTTTAGGATTTCCAACAGCATTGCCGCAGACCAAACCTAAGAGTTTAGGGTTTAGGATTTCCAACTGCATTGCCGCAGATCAAACCTAAGAGCTTAGGGTTTAGGATTTCCAACTGCATCGCAGCAGATCAAACCTAAGAGTTTAGGGCCTAGGATTTCCAACTGCATTGCCGCAGAGCAAACCTAAGAGTTTAGGGTTTAGGATTTCCAACTGCATTGCCGCAGATCAAACCTAAGAGTTTAGGGTTTAGGATTTCCAACTGCATTGCAGCAGATCATTCCTAAGAGTTTAGGGTTTAGGATTTCCAACTGCATTGCCGCAGATCAAACCTAGGAGTTTAGGGTTTAGGATTTCCAAATGCATTGCTGCAAATCAAACCTAAGAGTTTATTTAGGGTTTAGGATTTCCAACTGCATTGCAGCAGATCTTTCCTAAGAGTTTAGGGTTTAGGATTTCCAACTGCATTTCCGCAGATCAAACCTGAGAGTTTAGGGTTTAGGATTTCCAACTGCATTGCCGCAGATCAAACCTAAGAGTTTAGGGTTTAGGATTTCCAACTGCATTGCCGCAGATCAAGCCTAAGAGCTTAGGGTTTAGGATTTCCAACTGCATCGCAGCAGATCAAACCTAAGAGTTTAGGGTTTAGGATTTCCAACTGCATTCTTTGAGTCTAAGTTCTATTTTTTGGGAACTTAGACTCCAGATTTTTTTTTGAGTCTAAGTCTAAGTTCTTTTTTTTTGGAACTTACACTCCAGAATTTTTTTGAGTCTAAGGCCTTTTTTTTTGGAACTTAGATTCCAGAATTTTGTTGAGTCTAACTTAGACTCCAGATTTTTTTAAGTCTAAGTTCTTTTTTTTGGAACTTAGACTCCAGATTTTTTTTGGGTCTAAGTTTTTTTTTGGAACTTAGACTCCATAATTTCTTTGAGTCTAAGTTCATTTTTTTCGGAACTTAGACTTCGGATTTTTTTTGAGTCTAAGTTCTTTTTTTTGGAACTTAGACTCCAGATTTTTTTGAATCTAAGTTCTTTTTTTTGGAACTTACACTCCAGAATTTTTTTGAGTCTAAGTTCTTTTTTTTTGGAACTTAGACTCCAGATTTTTTTAAATCTAAGTTCTTTTTTTTTGGAACTTAGACTCCAGATTTTTTTTTTTTTTTGGAACTTAGACTCCGGAATTTTTTTCGGGGTCTAAGTTCTAATTTTTTTGGAATTTAGACTCAGGATTTTTTTGGGATCTATTTTTTTTGTGGAACTTAGACCCCATATTTTTTTGAGTCTAAGTTCTTTTTTTTTGAACTTAGACTCCAGATTTTTTTTTAGTCTAAGTTTTTTTTTTGGAACTTAGACTCCAAAAATCTGGAGTCTAAGTTCCAAAAAAAAATTAGACTGAGACTCGAAAAAAATCTGGGGTCTAAGTTCCAAAAAAATGAACTTAGACTCAAAGAAATTATGAAGTCTAAGTTCCAAAAAAAAAACTTAGACCCCCAAAAAAATCTGGAGTCTAAGTTCCAAAAAAAAAACTTAGACCCCAAAAAAAATCTGGAGTCTAAGTTCCAAAAAAAAACTTGGACTAAAAAAAAATCTGGAGTCTAAGTTCCAAAAAAAAGAACTTAGACTCAAAAAAATATGGGGTCTAAGTTCCACAAAAATAGATCCCAAAAAAATCCTGAGTCTAAATTCCAAAAAAAATTAGAACTTAGACCCCGAAAAAAAATCCGGAGTCTAAGTTCCAAAAAAAAACTTAAAAAATTCTGGAGTCTAAGTTCCAAAAAAAAGAACTTAGATTTAAAAAAATCTGGAGTCTAAGTTCCAAAAAAAAGAACTTAGACTCAAAAAAAATCTGGAGTGTAAGTTCCAAAAAAAAAGAACTTAGATTCAAAAAAATCTGGAACTTAGACCCTAAGTTCGAAAAAAATGAACTTAGACTCAAAGAAATTATGAAGTCTAAGTTCCAAAAAAAAAACTTAGACCCCAAAAAAAATCTGGAGTCTAAGTTCCAAAAAAAAACTTAGACTAAAAAAAAATCTGGAGTCTAAGTTCAAAAAAAAAAGAACTTAGACTCAAAAAAATATGGGGTCTAAGTTCCACAAAAAAAATAGATCCCAAAAAAATCCTGAGTCTAAATTCCAAAAAAATTAGAACTTAGACCCGGAAAAAAATTCCGGAGTCTAAGTTCCAAAAAAAACAAAAAATTCTGGAGTCTAAGTTCCAAAAAAAAAGAATTTAGACTCTGGAACAGGTTTCCTCATATAGATTTTATTGCATTTTTTTGTTGAAATGCTGCCTTTTTGACACAAAAATCTATATATATGACCTTGAAAA